TGTAAATTGTTACGGGAGCAGAAAGCCTCATCTTTCTCCCGCGGAACAGCTGGTAGTCTCCAACTGCTGACCTTGAGGTTCACAGCCCGACTCGTAACCATTCCGCTACCAGAGCTCCTTGTGGTTGTAGTAGAAAGTGTAATTAGTATTACAATGACTATTATTCACTCCATACACATTTGGTCTCTACCAAGCCTTGTGTTAGGCACCAGATAAACTACCATTATAATTAAGGTTTTGTGTCAACCTGACTGGGCTAGGGTGGTTTGGCAGTTAAAATGTAGTAACCCCCATGATGAGATCTAATACAATGTAATTACTTCCATGGCCAGATATGCTATGAGCACCCAGTCAAGATTCCTCCAGGGTGTGAAATATATTAACATACTAGACACTTTCAATATATTAGACACTTGGGCAAAGCTTGCTGGCTTTTTGCTGGGTCTGGATCAGGCATCTGGCTCATCATCTGACCTCCAGTTCTTTGGGCTTAAGCCAGTGATTTGTTTATTGCCTGCCAATCCTGGGAGTCCTTCTTAATCAGCCCTTATGATCACCCTATGCACTTAAAGAAAATCTGTAGCCTGCCATCTTACTTCTTGACCTTGGATTCATTCCCCTCTGTATTTGACCTGCCGATCTTTGATTCATCATCCCCCTTGGAGTCCATGAGTCAGGAATAACCTCCAACCAGACATCTATCCCAAAGACTTGGAACTTGTCTGCCATCCTGGTGTGGCTCCATGGGCAAATGCGCTGGGCTACAAAGTTGCTTTGAACCATAAGGTCAGAGGTTCAAGCTCACCAGCTGCCCCTTGGAAACTCTATACAGTGTCTCTATGGGACAGAACCAAATTGGTGGCACTTACTGACAACATAGGTATATATATAAGCTTCACTGGTTTTACTTCTCTAGAGAGCCCAACCTAAGACAACCACAGTGAAGAAATCCCAGGCTTATTGGACAGATAAAAATGCATGGGTATTAGTTGATGATGCATGGAGGGGATTGTGACCGTGGCAATGAAATGATATACGATAGGATGAATGTAAAACTAATGTTCTCCCATGTAAACTATCACATAATTCACAATAAAACATTAAAAATATAAATTAATTCATTAACTGTGGTAAATCACCTGGTGAAAATTTGCCTTAAATTTAATAGTGGTGGTGGTGTACCATGGAATCTTTTTTGACTCATTGTGACCCTGCATAGGGTTTCTGAGGCTGTAAATCTTTATGGGAGCAAGGTGGCCAGGAGTCAGGTTTGTAGAATGTGCCCTTGGATTGTTTAAATGATTATATATTTCAGAGCGTTTTTGTGTACATCAAACAAACAAACAAACAAAACAACAGGGAATAGAAGCAAATACTGTTGAATGATGATCATGGAGGGGATTATAATCATTGCAATGAAATAAAATATAAGAGGATGAGTACAAAACCAATAACATTAAAAAATAGATGGGTAGATTGACGGATATTTGTTTTCCTGTCCCCAGGTAGGGTGATGAGTTGGGAGGAGCAAGCCCAGTAACAATTCGCTGTAGATCTCTTAACCGCCCAGCATGGCCAAAGGTAGACCCCTTATCTGTCACAAAGTGTCCCTTTCCCACTGTTAGGATATAAACAGACCTCCAAGCAGCTATAAAAGTCAATCAGGAAACAGTGGGTTCCCTCTGAATCTCCTAGGAAGATTCATGGTAACAGCCCCCAACCCATGGGAAGGTCTCTACAATCTTCCTCCCTCTCAGACACTCCCAACCAAGCACAGGACCCAACATGCCCCACCACTGCCCGCCAACTCTTCGGACAGTCAGCACCAGCCACTCCTACTTCCACCCACTACTTTATTGGTTTTTCTTTTTAACTGCCTTCCTTGTCACCTAAGTTAGCATTCTTATTCACTACGCAGTGAATAAGTCTCCCTTCCCTCTCACCCCTAGTAACAATCATTGAATGTTTATTACAGTATGAAAAACTTTTCTTGACTTTTTATAGTAGTGGCCTCATACCATATCAGTCCCTTTGTGACTGACTAATTTCACTCAGCATGATGTCCTCCAGGTTCCTCCATGTTTGGAGGTGTTTTGCAGATTCATGATTATTCTTTAAGGTTGCATAATATTCTATTGTGTGTGTGTGAACCAAAGTTTGTTGAGCCATTCCTCTGCTGATGGGCATCTAGGCTGTCATCCATCTCTTTGCTATTGTGAATACTACTGCAGGGAACAAGGGTGTGCATGTATCTATTCAGGCCACAACTCTTATTTCTTGAGGATCTAGAACAAGCAGAGAGATTGTTGGGTCATACGATATTTCTAGTCCAACCTTCTAAGAAAGTGCCATACCGTTTTTCACAGAGGTTGCACCATTTTAATGTCCCACCAGCAGTGTAGGAGGGTCCCCTAGTCTCCACACCCTCTCCAGCATTTGTTGTTTTCTTTCTTTTTTTTTTTTAAACTTTGCTATTAAGAGTGGGGTCAGATGATATCTCATTGTTGTTTAGATTTGCATCTCTGTAGTGTCTAATGATCATGAACATTTCTCCATGTTTGTTGGATCCCTGAATGTCTTCTTTGGTGAAGTATCTGTTCATGTCCTCTGCCCATGTTAATTGTATTATTTTCTTCTTGTTGTTGAGGTGTTAAAGAGTTCTATAAATTTCAGAGAGGAATCCCTTGTCTGATATGTCATTGCCAAAAGGTTATTTTCCCAGTGTGTGTTTTGTTTTGACTCTTTTGGTGAGATCTTTTGAGGCACACAGCGTTTAATTTTTAGGAGATTCCAGTCATATTTCATCTTTTGCCATCTGTGTGTTTTTAGTTATAGGCTTGGATTTGGGGGGTGGGTTTGAAAACAGGATGACAATGTACACTTTACTTCTGACTGTATGTCTTATACTTACTGATCTAGAATTTCTCAAGCTCTCATGTGTTGTGGGCTGGTGGTTGTTGCTAAGTACCATTGAGTCGATGCCAACGCATAGTGACCCTATGCACAACAGAACAAAACACTGCCCAGTCCTGGGCCAACCTCACAATTGTTATGTTTGAGCTTATAGCCGCTGCCACCATGTCAGTCCATCTTGTTGGAGATCTTCCTCTTTTTCTCTGACCACTTTTCCAAGTATGATGTCTTTCTCCAGGGACTGGTCCCGCCTGCTAATATGTCCAGTGTACAAGAGAAGTCTCATCATTCTTGCTTCTAAGGAGCATTCTGGCTGATTACTTCATTTAATTCCGTCCTGGAAGCCGGCATGGTGGCTATTTTTAGCTTCCCCTTTTAGAAATAATAATAATAGTAGTAGAGGGTCTGTGTATTGTTGAAGGTTACCTTTCTACTGAGTGGTAGAGCTGAGACTGCCCCTCCCCCCAAAACGGAAGTCATCTTTTTCTCTATAAAGTGAGGAGGCAGAAGGAGAAGTTTGGAAAGCTTACAATAACAGAGAAAGAGGGGTGTGCCCCTCAAATTAGGACAGGAATCAAAAAGGAACACATGAGTGAGTGCCGAGAATTACTCAGAGGTGGAATCTTTGTGCATGAGTATGTGACAGGCATTACCCTCAGCGAGATTTAGATTAGAAACGACATCCATAAATTCGGGAGGAATCGTGTAGGCCAGTCAGGTCTTGGGGCAAGAAGTGGAACCAATATGGAGCCCCAAGCAGCTGCAATGTGGAATGGTTTGACCACAACTGTGAGAGCAGCCCAGAAGGTAGCGGGAACTCCACCTAGAAAAAGCTGCACTGCCGACAGTCCACTGAGGTTGCCTAGCAACAAACCCCGCTTTCCGCTAACCGAAAGTTCAAGGAAAACAACCCCAGGCAAATTCAGCTGTCATTAAGAGCGGAACTCTGCTTGGTCGGATCCTCTGCCTACTAAGGTTGGAGAAAATCTGTAGAAGAATTTGGGAGGAGTTTGCTGGGACATCAAAAATGTCACGGTGAAAAAAACAAACTGAAGTTCTTAAAAGATGAGCTGGAACACTCTCAGTGGAAAAAAAGACAGAACCCTTCATTCCAGCTCCTGTGAGACTGGTAGACTTCACTGACAAATTACAGTTGTTAAGTGCCGTCGAGTCGATTCCGACCCATAGCAACCCTGTAAGGGTTTCCGAGGAGCAGCTGGTGAGCTTGAACCGTCAACCTTGCAGTTCAAACGGCTTTGCAGTCTGGCGCATTAACCCACCGCGCCACACCAGGACAAATTACAGTAGCTAACATTTATTGAATACCTAATAACATCGGTGACTGATTTAAGTGCTTCATATATATAATTCACTCAGTCTGTACAAGAATTTTGTAGTTATTTGACCTTAAATGCCATGGAGTTGGTTCCAACGCATAGCAACCCTGTATAGGATTTTCAAGGAGCATCTATCTGGTGGGTTTGAACTATGGACTTTGTAGTTCGTAATCCAGTGCTTATCCAACAACACAAGTGGAGGACTCCACACAATTCTAGATATTATCACCACACCCATTTTATAGCAAAGGAAACAGGCTTGGAGAAGATGAATTTTCTAAGGCTCTACAGTGATCGGTGGTAGCGCTGGGATTCAAACTCAGGTCTTCTGACAAGGAAGACTTAACCTTGGGTATCCCCTCCGGGGTTTTGCTGGTGCTCTGGTTAAAGCACTCAACTGCTAACAAAAAGGTCGATGATTGGAACCCACAAACCCTTCTGCAGGAAAAGCTGTGGCCTTGGAAACCTTATGGGGAGTTCTCCTCTGTACCATGCGTTGGAGTCCACGTGACTGCAATAGGTTTGTATTTTAGTTTGTTTGCTGGTTTATCACCTTCAGATTAACTTTAAGGTTAAGTATGGAGAAGTTGGCTACAGAGGTGAAGGCTGCTTATTACAAATCAGGGTCAGCGGGGATGAATGAGGCTCACAAATGGGGGTGCTCCAAGAATTGTCAGGCCAATCCCAGGGATCCCAGAGTCTCCCTCCCTCTTCTTTAGCTGCAGGAGTCTTTTCCAGCCCCCCTGGGGTTCAGGACTGGAGACCACCAGGGGCAGAGCTCCTGCTGCGACAGTCAAAGACCACCAAGGAGCCCAGGCAGACGAGGACCAGGCCAGCCAGCCCCAAGCGGACCACGTTTCCCAACGTGTAGTCTGAGGATGGAGCACCTACGGGCGGGGTGAGAGATGGGTGCCATCACTCAGTGCCTGTCCTGCAGACTCCTTGTCTCTACCCCGACCCACCCCACCTGACTCCTGAGTCTTAAAGTTGGGGTGGAGTGGAGGGACTGAGGGAAGAGGGGCTAGGGGTCAGGACTCCTGAGTCTGAGGGAGAAGGGCTGGGGGTCAGGACTCCTGGGTCTGAGGGAGGAGGGGCTGGGGGTCAGGACT